CCTTTGAATTTGCAATTCAATATGAATATTCACCACTGCCCACCGTGTGTTCCTGGGATGGGCCCTCAACACTCCCTCGCTGCTTTTTGGAGCCTGGGTGGGGTCGTGATCGCAGGTGGAGTGGGAGCAGCAGCTTGACCGAGGTGGGACCCACGCACCTCACCATTCACCCACGTAAAGGGTGCAGCCCGGCGGGCTTGGTGCACTGAGTTGCATGACAGTTTCCAGTCAGCCTTGGAAGACTTGTCACCATGAGAGAAAATGCTGCATCCCCTGGTGATGGCCCTGCTGAGCCCTCCCCTGCCCTGGCCCCACCAGGCCCTGGTGACCATGATGGTGTCTCCCTCTGTGGATTCGCCTCTTGTGCCCCTGTCATGTGAGGGGCTCCTGCAGTACTGGCCTCCTGGTGTCCTGGAGGTTCCTCCATGTTGCCCCTGTGACAGTGCTTTGCCTGTCCCACAGCTGAGTCCCTCCACAGGGTGGACATGCTGTGTTGGTTTATCATCCATCCACTGAAAAGCCCTGGGCTGTTCTGCTTTGAGGCTCCTGAACAAGGCTGCTGTGCACATTTGTGCCCAGGGACGAGTATCCTGGGTTCCCTGGGTGTGCACCCAGGACTAGGGTCTCCGGGCCCGACATGTCCTGCTGAACTCATGATCAAGTTAATGGCTTTCGGCTTTCCTGTGTCTTTATCTTTCTGGTCTTTGCTCCCTCCTGATTCTTCCTGCCGCCCCTGGCTCCTCCATTTCTGGGTGGAGCCATCCCCTGTGCAGCGCTTGGTCTCACAGTTGGCAAGGGCAGGCGTGCGGCTCTCAGCTCCTGCCCCTGTCTTCTAGGTGGCCTCCTTCAACGACTCCGACTTCCTGAAACAGCTGGAGATGTCCATCAAGTACGGGACCCCTTTTCTTTTCCATGATGTGGACGAGTACATCGATCCTGTGATTGACAATGTCCTAGAAAAAAACATCAAGTACACTCAGGGGCGGCAGTTCATCATCCTGGGGGACAAGGAGGTCGACTACGATTCCAACTTCAGGCTCTACCTGAACACCAAGCTGGCCAACCCCAGGTACAGCCCATCGGTGTTTGGAAAGGCCATGGTCATCAACTACACCGGTAAGAGCAGACGGAGCCTGGTGAGGTTAGGGGGTTCCCGCTGAGACCAGTCCCCTCTAGGCCTTCCTGGGCTGCCCTTCGCTGGTGACCCTGGACAGTTCCTTCATAAGCACATCTTCAGGGTTAGCTCTCAGGTGGGCGACACCTGGAAGGCCCCAGGCCTTTGGGAGTCAGGTGCTCTCATCTGGAGGAGGAGAGGTGGCCTCTGTGCTGGGCGGGGAGCCATGGCGTCCTTGTGTCTCAGACCTGCTCTGGGCTCTCATGGGAGAGGTGCTGCAGGCCTGGAGCTGGGTGCAGATGTGAGGGCCACTCCCTGTCCCCACAGTCACACTGAAGGGCCTGGAGGACCAGCTGCTGAGTGTGCTGGTGGCCTTCGAGAGGCGTGAGCTGGAGGAGCAGCGGGAGCATCTCATCCAGGAGACGAGTGAGAACAAGAACCTGCTGAAGGACCTGGAGGATTCCCTCCTCCGGGAGCTGGCCACCTCCACTGGGAACATGCTGGATAACGTGGAGCTGGTGCAGACCCTGGAGGACACCAAGTCCAAGGCCACGGAGGTGCGTGCCATTGGCCGTGGAGGGGTGGGTCCAAGCTGGGCGGGCTCTGAGCACTCAGCAGGTTCTGGCTCTGACTCTTCTGAGGATTTGGCTGATGAGGAGGGGCTCCGCTATCAGGGTGTGCTGCAGGGAGGGGGATCATGAAGGTGCCCCAGGGACCCTCCAGTGGAGAGTGGGAGAAACCTGGCTCCACCTGGCCTGCGTCAAGAGCAGGGTCATCAGCTCAGGAAGCAGAAGAGTTGGGCAGGGCAGAGCCACCGTCCCTTCTTCTTCACCCCTGGACTGGTCTCCTCTCTCTGCCAGCTTTGGCCTCACATGAGTGTGGCCTCATGTCCGCCCAGGTTTAAGTCCAGGGGCATAAGTGGGATCTTTTCCTGTTCCTGTCCTGAATGTCCTGAGAGTCACCAAAGCACCCAAAACAACCCGGGGTGGAGTTGGGGTGGAGCCCTCCAGTGGAATGAAGGGGGCAGTGAGTCTCCAAGTGGAAGCCAGCAGCTGTAACCCGGGCTCTAGTCGGCCATTCAATTACGAACGCCCACCAGGTCTCCCAGGAGAGCGGACACCCTGGGCCCCTGTGGGCTCCACGAGCACTGCATGGTCCTCTCTGCCGTCCCCTCCCCTGCCCTGCCCTGTCCTCTGGGTCTTCCTGGCTGTGTCCAGGATAACTCGGGCTTTTTCTCAGGTGTCAGACAAGCTCAAGCTGGCGGAGAAGACAGCCCTGGACATCGACAGGCTGCGGGACGGCTACCGGCCGGCCGCCAGGAGGGGAGCCATCCTGTTCTTCGTGCTGTCCGAGATGGCGCTGGTGAACTCCATGTACCAGTACTCCCTGAGCGCCTTCCTGGAGGTCTTTGGGTTGTCCCTGAAGAAATCGCTGCCAGATTCTATCCTCATGAAGCGGCTCAAGAACATCATGGACACCTTGACCTTCAACATCTACAACTATGGCTGCACAGGTGAGCGAGGCTCCCCCACTGCCCGGGGCAGGAGTGCGGATACTTCACCTACCAAGGCCAGTGTCTGGAACAGCCCTTTAGAGAGCCGTGATTCATGCCCTAGGAGGAGTCCACAGTCTGTTTTGGCTTCACAGTTGTGTGGCCATGGCCACTGTCTACTCCATCAGCCCAGAAATGAGACCCCTGCCCCTCGCCACCCACTTCTCCCCTAACCCTGCTGCCCCTGACCTACCTTCTGAGCCCGTGGATTTGCTTCTGGTGGGCATTTCACATCAACAGAACACACCGGGTGGCTCTCCTTTCTTCACGGAGCACAGTTTCAGGGTGTGTCCACTTGGAAGTCCGTACTGGGATCCACCCTTCCTGTGGCTGAATGCTTGTCCTCTTGTCTGGGTAGGGTGCATTTTGTGTCCGTTCGTTGGTGGATGGACATATGGGCTATTCGTGGTTTTTAGCTCTTAGGATAATGCTGCTGTGGAATTCACATTCACATTTCTGTGTGAACCTGTGTGTGTGTGTGTGTGTGTGTTGTGTGTGTGTGTGTGTGTGTGTGTTATGAGTGTCCCGTGTTCTACCCTGAGCTGCACTCCCAGCCTGAACATGTGTTGAATTCTCTAGATTTTGTGTATACCTAGGAGTGGGAGCACTGGGTCACGTGGTAGCTCTGCTTAGCTTTTTAAGGAACTGCTAAACTCTTTTCCAAAGTGGAATTCCTGATTTTCACCTCCTAATTTTTAAAAACTTTTTGTCATGGAAAATTTTTGAATCTAAAAAGTAGAATCATTTAAGGGTTCTCCCACACCCCATCCAGCCAGGGCCGTTTTGACCCTCAGCTTCCTACTGGGACCTTCGATCTGTGAGTATTTCAGCCTGGGTCTCTGGGACAGGTCGGCAGATGTTCTCTGTGAAGAGCCAGAGAGTCGCCCCTCAGGCCCTGCAGGCCCAGGGTCTGCCCCGACTCCCGCATTTGCCCAGGTGGTTTAGAAGCCCCCTTTGTGGCGTCTCTCTGCAGGGCTGTTCGAGAAGCATAAGTTACTCTTTTCCTTCAACATGACCATCAAGATAGAGCAAGCCGAGGGAAAAATCCCCCAGGAAGAATTGGATTTCTTTTTAAAAGGTAATGATTCGCCTGTCTTCATTTTTCCCAGTGTCTCCTCGGCAGCATGGCTCCCAGGGCTCCTTGGTTATAACAGGCGCCATCACCACCCACTTGCTGCCTCTTAAATGCTCCTGCTGGTAACTCCGGCCTCTGAAGTGGCTGTGGCTCCATTCACAGCATCCGCCCTGCCTGGGGGCTGGGGGTGCAGCAATGCTATTGTGCTGTTGGTGACAGGGACGCCCACCCTGCCTCCTTGTGAAGCGGACTTTCCCCCTAAGCCAGAGGAGCCCAGCTGCTGAGCTGCCTGCTGGGCATGGGCAGCACCAGGGCATTTGCTTCTCTTCCCATCTCAGGAAACATCTCCCTGGAGAAGAGCCAGAGGAAGAAGCCCTGCCCGTGGCTGTCCGACCAGGGGTGGGAGGACGTCATTCTTCTATCAGAAATGTTTTCCAATAAGTTTGGGCAGCTTCCTGGTGACGTGGAGGATAATATCACCCTCTGGCAGGAGGTGATCCCACATCTTCTCTCCCCTTTTCCACCTGCCAGCAACCTCCAGCTGACCATACCTGCCCCTTGGGAGTGAGAATTTCCTTTGAAAACCCCATTCAGAGTGTAATCCATGCCCACTCACTCCAGGGTGAAACTCCTTTGTTCAATTCAGTTAGCTGGGTAGAAGGACCATCTATCCATCTGCTGTCCATCTGTCTGTCCATTCATCCGTCCATCCATTTGTCCATCTGTCCATCCACCCATTCCTCCATCCATCCATTCTGCTGTCCATCCACCCATTCCTCCATTCATCCATTTTTCCATCCACCCACCCATCCCTCCCTCCATCCATCCATTTGTCCATCCAGGAGACACTTACTGAGCATCTTCCAGGTACTGCATC